TCAATAGTAGAGGAAAATAAAATTCTTAAGTAGCAAGTTAGTTGGTATGTTATAGTGAATATTAGAATTAAAGCAAAATCTAATGTGTTCTGAAAATTTCTTTAAGTTTTTCTCTTTTGTTACTGAAATGAGTGAAAACATTGTAAATAATTCAAATCAATGTATAGTTTTAAATTGCCTTTTTCTTTCTTCCCAACTCATTTCTCATCACTAGGAGTAATCTCTAGTAAAAGTCTCATATATACCCTTATGTGGTGTTTGGGGAGTTTTTGTTTGTTTTGTTTCGTTTTTTATCAATATGTGTATTTATGTAAATAGGTTTCTTTTGAAGAATGAAATCGTTATATTCTGGTATTTGCTTTTTAAAGTAATTTAACAGCAGGTATTGGAGATTTTTCAGTTCACTAATCAGTGAATATAGTAGTTTCACCAGAAGGTTTTAAAAAAATATATTAATTTCTTTGTTACAAGAAATTAGGCTGAAAGTCTACAGTATCTGTTTATTTTGCTTGAGTTTATTTTGTTTCTTCTGTAAAGTGATTTTGTTTGGGTATTGGTTCAACTGCTGTAACAGAAGCTGGAAAACAGGTTTATTTAAGAGAAGTTTATGTCTTCTCCAACAAACTCTAAGCTAGTAGCAGTCACTACAGTAGGGTATTTCTCAGGAGTCAAGTAGTGCTTTTTGTCTTTTTCTGCCATCCCCTAGAATGCTGAACTTTGAAATGTTGAAAATTCTTTATTACCATCAGGTTCAAGTTCAAGGCTGGGAAAAGGAGAAAGAGTAATGAAAAACAAATAGCTTCATTTTAAGAACATGACCTTGAAGTTACAACTTGTTGGCTGGAATATAGTTATTCTTCATGCCAAGAAGCAAGGAAGTCTTAGAAAGTAGTCCAGGTGGACAGCCATGTATCCAGCTAAAGCATAGAAGCTTCTGATAGCTAAAAGGAAGGAGAGATGAACATTGGGGCACCATTATACAGCACTGAGTTGGTTTTTCAAGTAAGGAGTAAGTGAAGAAATGATCATTGATATCTGTAATTTCTACAGAACAGTACAGATTAGCCATACTTGTGCTAAAATTTTGCTTGGTAAATATCCACTGAAAAATACTAATCTGTGCTTGGACTAAAACATGACCAAGTTTATGTAGTGTTTGAACCATATGTAATATATTTTCCTTTTATTTGATTTTCATTGTCTATAAAAAATATCAATATAATACTTCCTTGTGGAGAGAGATCCCTTATTAATAAACTTCAGCCATCTGGAATATTATTAAGGTATCCAGATATCAAAAACTGTTGGGGACCAGTTTTTTTTCATTAGAGTGCTGGGGATCAGACCTAGCAGCAAGCCCTGTGCCCTGAGCTACATCCCCTGCCCATTATGCCATTCTTTAAACAATCTTACTTTTAAATAGAATTGACTTTTTGGGAGGGTACCAAGTATTGAACTCAGGAGCACTCAACCACTGAACCACATCCCCAGCCGTATTTTGTATTTTATTTAAAGACAGGGTCTCATTGAGTTGCTCAGCACCTGCTGTTGCTAAGGCTGAGGCTGGCTTTGAATTCAAGATCCTCCTGCCTCAACCTCCCGAGCTGCTGGTAGAATTGACCTTTTTTATGCTTCCGTTTGTCAGAATACATACTTAATAAACCTATATGTGGGAGGCTGACATAGCATGTGACCAGCGTTTGCTTCCCCTCTTGATCCAAGTGGCACTGCTTCCCCTCTTGATCCAAGTGGCATTGTTATCTGGTTGCTTAAGTAACCGGAGGCGATAGTCCCGATCTTTAGGGTAGAGAAAATACAAATGTGTCTGTGTGCATGGGCTTGCCTTCCTACATCCCCAGGGATTGAGTTACCTTACCTGTCCTTGTGACCCTGGTCCCCTTGACCTTCATTGAATGGAAATTTCTAAAGAATCTGGAGTCCCCCCAATAAAAGTCCACTCCGAAACGTGCTCGCTCTCTCTCGCCAGCCTCTTGTGAGATTCCTCACTCTCCCATTTGGGGATCTTGAGGCCAGGGGCAGAGGAGCCATCACCAGGCTTGATTTAAAGGTAAATTGTATATCTGTGTTAATTTTGATGCCTTAGGAATTTCACTTGAGCAACCTCTAGTTTAGCTATCTGCACAGGTTGTAGATGGCACCTTTAACTTTAACTTGTTATACTTAATTTATTTATATGACTATCTTCTTGAACAAACTCTTCTTGGCCATAGACCATATCTTATTTTGGTTAGCACAAGAACAAATACATGTATACTCAATATGTGTTTATTGACTTAGTAAATGGCTATGCATTCTAGTCTAAAAAATTTGGATATTATTGAGGAAATGGAACCAATTAAGAATATTTTATTGTGATGATTTATTTTTATCAGTTGCTTATTTCATTTTATCTTGAGCACCAGAATGAAGATAGAATCTTTAAAAAAAAAGACTTAAATCATTCATGAGAATATTCTAGAAATTCAAATGAATCAGAAAACCACTTTAAAGGGGCTGGGGATGTGGCTCAAGCAGTAGCGCACTCGCCTGGCATGAGCAGGGTGCTGGGTTCGATCCTCAGCACCACATAAAAATAAAATAAAGATGTATCCACCGAAAACTAAAAAATAAATATTAAAAATCTCTCTCTCTCTCTCTCTCAAAAAAGAAAGAAAAAAAGAAAACCACTTTAAGGCTCTTTTCTGTTCATTAAAGTATCGTTAAAGTAATACCTTGGGCTAGGGTTGTAAGTCAGGGGCAGAGTGTGTGCTTAGCAGTAGGGAGGCCCTGGGTTTAATCCCCAGTATCAAAAAAAAGTAATACCTGTTCATTATCAAAATTATTGATATAATTATGTAGTCTGAATTATTTTTTCTATAGATTCATATAGATTGTTATTGCTATGGTATTAAACCAAAGTGATCTCATGCTAAACATACTATTTACAATTTTTTTTACTTATATCTTAAACATCTTTTCATGTGAGTATGTATGCATCTGCTTCATGCATTTATCACTTCATAATGTACATGTATCATTTCACTTGTCTGGTGAGTGAATATTAGATTTCCTTTTAACTATTATAAATATTGCTGCAAAGAACATTCTAGGATATAACACTTTATAGTTCTAGGTGTGTTTTTAAAGTTCCCAAGATAGAAATACCTGACCAAAGGGGTATGTACTTTTTGTCTATGTGTGTATGTGTGCATGTTTTATTGGGGAACCCAGGGCCTCATGCATGCTAGGCAAGTACTCTACCACTGAGATAACTCTTCAGTGTTTTTGTTTGTTTCTTTAAGACAGGGTCTTGTTCCATTGCACAGATTGGCCTCAGACTTACCATTCTTCTACCTCAGCCTCCTAAATGGCTGGGATAACAGGTGTGCACCACTGTGCCCAGCTAATTTATATCTTTGTCTATGCTTGATTCTATTTTTAATTTTTTTAAATTGGAGAATATAAGAAAACATGTCATATATATAAACTTTGTATATTTTTTACAGCCTCAGTAAATCGGTATAATCATCCTGATTAAGAAACTGAATATTACCAATAACTCAGAAGTGTTCTTTGTGCTCCAGTCACTGCCCACTCCCAAGAGTAAATACTGGTATATTTATCAATATATTCTATTGGTAAATATATTCAATATATTTCTAATAGCATAGATTAGTTCTGCCTGTTTTGTTTTGCTTGTTTGTTTTTACTGTACCAGGGATTGAACCCAGGGGCGCTTAACCACTAAGCCACATCACCAGTCCTTTTTTACATTTTATTTAGAGACAGGGTCTTGGTAAATTGCTTAGCACCTTGCTAAGTTGCCAAGGCTGGCTTGGAATCCTCCTGCCTCAGCATCCTGAATTGCTGGGATTAAGGCATGTGTGCCCAGCCCTGTTTTTATATTTTATAAAATTGACTTTTTATTTTTGTGAGGCTTATAGACAAAAATATCGTTATTTTAACTCATATTTATCTTTGAGTGACATGCCAAAATCTCATTTATAGAATCTTTGTTAAGAACTGTCATTGAAGAATTTAGAGTAACTTATACCAAATGAGCTAAAAAGGATCTACAAGGGCTGGGGATATAGCTCAGTTGGTAGAGTACTTGCCTCGCATGCACAAGACCCTGGGTTCAATCCTCAGCACCACAAAAAAAATAAAAATAAAAAATAAAAAAATAAAAAGGATCTACAATAGTAGTTTTTAAAACTACATTATTTATCAGATATTTTCCAAATATTTTCACCTACTCTGTGACTTACTATTTTCATTGACTTCACAGTATCTTTTGAATAGCAGAAGTTTAAAGTTTTACAAATTGCTTCTTTCCCTCACTATTACATCATGATATTCAGTACAGTTAATTCTTTTGAATAGTTGCGTAGCATTCCACCAAAGAATTTATCACAGTTTATTTGGATTTTCTCTTCCTGATACAGTTGTCTCTAGTTTTTTCCTATTGTAAATAATGCACCAAGATTCATTGTAAAATTCAGCTTGAATTTTAATTCCCATAAATTATTTTAAAATAGAAACATTTCATCCTTATAGGTTTTTGAGACACACTTACAACCTTAAATTTGGTATACAGTTTTTCTTTTTCAAATATATAATGGAAATGTTTAGTTAAAATTATGATATAAATGATTGCTTTTAATTGCTTCCTTTTTTCTTCCATAACCCTATTGCTTTCTTCTTGATTCAGTCATAGCAGGCATATTTATAAAACTAATGATTTCTCTTCATTCCTCAACTTGTATGACTTATTTTATTTGACTACTCTCATAGTTGTTCAATCCCTATAATGAGATTATAATATTACCTAGATAAATATTTAGATTTGTGAAAGACCATATTCACAATATCGCATTAGTTTGTTTTTTTTTTTTTTCTTTTCAAAATTGGATGGCATAAATTGGTGAAAGGGGAACTTGATGTTTTTTTTTTTTTAGTTTTTCTTATTATTTTAATGCTATTTTATTTTTTCATGACAGATTCAAAAGCTTTGTGACCGAGTAGCTTCATCTACTTTATTGGATGATCGAAGAAATGCTGTGCGTGCCCTCAAATCATTATCTAAGGTCTGTAATGCTTTGTAGATTATTAAGTTTCTTAAGTTGGATGTTTATTACTTTAATAACATTATTCTTTTTTTTATGTATAGAAATACCGCTTGGAAGTGGGTATTCAAGCTATGGAACATCTTATCCACGTTTTACAAACAGATCGGTAAGTCTCTGACTTTCCTTAATTTTTCTTGAAATTTTAATTAATTTGTTTTAAAGTTGGCCTCATTATTCCAAAAGATTGACACATTAAAACTATTAAGATTTTGACCCTTAGTTGCCATTTTATTGGAAACTAAGTACAAGCCACTGAGTCAAGCATTGCGATAGACATAAAAATAAGATGAAGAAATTGCTCAGGGTTTGAATTGGGCAAGTTAATTGTTTTGATATTCCCTAGGTGTACTATACCATAATATTATATACATATTACGGCATATCAGTTATCTAGACTTACTGTTTTTTAAGGAAGTAAACTATAGATAAGAGTGAAATATTAAATTTGATGTGTCTTCAGAGAAAGATCACTCAGCCTAGTGTTAGCTCTTTCAGTTTCTTCTTAAGAGATTTTATCTGCGTCTTTAGTTTTAATTACTACATTGATAGCTTTCAAATCTTACCTCTGATCAAATATGTCTTTCAAGCTTTAGTTGGTCATCCCTTCTGTCACACCAATATCTCTCAAAGGTACTTCAAATTCAAGATGTTCACAGTTAATTTATCTCTGGTCCTCCTGCTCCTAACCCTTCTTTGCCCACAATTGCCTTTTGCCCTGAGTTCTTCCCAGTCAGTAGTACTTTTCCATTCAACAAGGGTTTATGCTGAATTTCATCTCTCTCTTTAACCCATTATTAGACCAAAAAACAAGTGGAATCAATGATTTTCTATTTCCTTTATTGGCCTTACTTCTGGCTCTCAGTATTTATTACTTAAACTATTTCCATAGCCTTCTGCTATGTAACAAATAAGTTAAAAATTTGGTGCCTCTTTGGGAACAAATTTTTACCACATGCACATGAGATACAGCACTAAACTCTAGGATATATAAAGAATTCAAAAATCTTAACACCAAAAAAAATATGAAAAAAATGTTTAACATCTCTAGCAATTAGAGAAATGCAAATCAAAACTACTCTTAAGATTTCATCTGAGGGGGGGCCTGGGGTTGTGGCTCAGTGGTAGAGCACTCACCTCGTACATGTGAGACCCTGAGTTTGATCCTCAGCACCACATAAAAATAAGTAAACAAAATAAAGATATTAAAAAAAAAGATTTGATCTCCAGTCAGAATGGCAGCTATTAAGAAAACAACAATACGTGTTGGCGAGGATGTGGGGAAAAGGCACACTCATACATTGCTGGTGGGACTGCAAATTGGTGCAGCCAATATGGAAAATAGTATGGAGAATCCTTGGAAAACTGAGAATGGAACCACCATTTGACCCAGCTATCCCACTCCTCAATCTATACCCAAAGGACTTAAAAACAGCATACTACAGGGACACAGCCACCTCAATATTTATAGCAGCACAATTCACAATAGCTAAACTGTGGAACCAACTAGATGCCCTTCAGTAGGATTAAAAAAATGAGGTATATATACACACAATGGAATATTATTCAGTATTAAAAGAGAATAAAATCATGGCATTTATAGGTAAGAGTTGGAGAAGATAATGCTAAGTGAAGTTAGCCAATCCCAAAAAACCAAATGCCAAAATGTTTTCTCTGATTTAAGGATGCTGATTCATAATGTGGTTGGGGGGTGGGGGCATGGGAGGATAAGATGAACTTTAGATAGGGCAAAGGGAAGGGAGGGGACAGGGGTAGGAAAGACGATGGAATGAGAGGGACATCATTACCCTAAGTAATGTATGAAGACACAATGGAGTGACTCTACTTTGTGTACAACTAGAGGTATGAAAAATTGTGCTCTATATATGTAATATGAAGTGTAATGCATTCTGAGTCATATATAGCAATTACAATTAAAAAAAAAGATTCACCACAGAAGTTTGTTGTCTTCTGCAGGAAAAAAAAAAATTGGTGGCTCAATAAATATTTATTTCCTCAATTTCTATGGATCAGGAATTGAGAGGCTTAGCACTCAAGGTATCTTAGGAGGTTACAGTAAAGATAACAGCCAGGACTATAGTCATCTGAAAGCTTAATTTGGACTGGTGATCTCATTGCAAGAGGTTCACTCATACTGCTTTTGGCAAGAGGCCTCAGTGAGTTGGGCATGGTGGCACATGCCTATAATTCCAGAGGCTGGGGAGGCTGAGGCAGAAGGATGAAAAGTTTAAGGCCAGCCTCAGCAACGTAACAAGGCCCTAAGCAACTTAGTGAAACCCTGTCTTAAAATAAAAAATAAAAATATCCGGGATATAGCTCAGTGGTAAAGAATCCTGGTTCCATCTCCAATACAAAAATAAATAAACAAACAAATAAATAAATAAAGGGGCCTCAGTGCCTTATTGTGTTGTTCCCTCAATAGGGCTGCTTGAGCATTCTCATGTTATGGCATCTGGCTTCAGAACAAATCATCCTAGAGAGAACAAAGAGAAAGCCAGTATGCCTCAGAAGAGAGCCAATTAATCTTAGAAGTCACCATCCATCTCTCCACATTTTGGTTGTCAGAACTAAGTTAATAAGTACAGCCTGCGTGTAAGGGGAGGAGAATTAAGTTCCACCTTTTGAAGAGTAGTTGTATTAAGAGTTTTAAACATAACTTAAACTACCACCACCTCCAAACTGTATCTTTGCCTCTGATTTCTTTGTCATCTAACTATGTAATGCATTTTACTAGCTCAATGTAATGTGATATTCAAATTTTTGAGGCAAATAATGTAAAGGTCGGTGTATTGCTTTAGCAGTCCAACTATAGACTGTTTTTTGGTTATAATTCAGTAATGCTCAACTTCTTATTCATACCAGTTAGGATTTTTCTTCTTCCTGTACAGCATAACCCAAATTAACTACTTTTTCAAGGCCAAGTTAGTCTCATACATTTGAATAAACTCACTGGATTTGTCAGAACTGTATTATTAACATAATAGTGGTTAATTATGTTAGGTGGAATAATCCACACCCTCACCCACAAAGATGTCTACATCCTAAGCACCAACATCTCTGAATGTTACCTTAGATGGCAAAAGGGACTTTGTAGATGTAATTAAGAACTTTGAGGTGGAGATATTAGCCTGGATTATCCAGGGGCACTCGTTGGATCACAAAGGCCTTCACAGGCAAAATAGGAAGGCAACTATTGCTGGCTTTGAAAATGGAGGAAGGGAGCCATCAGCCAAGAAATGTTTGTGACTTCTGGAAGAGCTGGAAAAAGAAGCAGATTAATATAATGATTATACATACTTACAATCTTTGTTTATCTCATGTGTGTTAAATCATATGTGCATTTTTCACTGAGTCTTACAAATTTCGTAATGAAACAATTGCCATCTCAATATGGGAAATAAAATGCTACCTCTCACAGTGATCTTTATTGTCATTTTAATTGCATAGCAGAAAATAAGTAGATATTCTTGATAAAGGTTAAATAATAGATTTTAAAAATTATTACATATTTACCGTGTTCCAGGTTCTGTACTTTTTTGTGCCAAATTCTTCTTTTCATTGCCTCTGAAACTTGCCTAGTTTCCTGTTTTCAAAGTGTTCTGTGAATATGTTTTTAAAACTTCATTGAGTGTAAAAAAATCTATATTCTGCAGCCATCTTTCCACATGTCCTCATCTTAATTACTATTGCATGTTACTTCTCCTGTCCTACATAAACACTCAGAATTCTTCTACTGAATGCTCTTTATCTTTAGTATATCACAAAAAGTTGTGTTCCCTCTCTTGGTACAACCTGACACCCATCTGGCCATGGGTCTGATTCTCCTATCACTATCTGAAAAAGAGACTGCTCGTTCTCCTGACTCCTACACTCAAGGCCCACTGATATTCCCAAACCAGGACACTTCAGTGGTTTTGTTTTCTTTAATTAAGATATAATGTATATGTCAAAAATTTACCCCTTTTTTGTTGTGCATTTCAGTGCTTTTAGTCACAAAGTTATACAACAAACATCACTGTCTAATTTCAGAACATTTACATCAGAAAGAAATCCTATATCTATTAGTTCTCATTCTCTATTCCTTACTCCCCCCAGTACCTAGTAACCACTAATCTACTTTTTTATTTGTACCCAAGATTTGAACCCAGGAGTGCTTAACTACTGAGCCACATCCCCAGTCCTTTTTTATTTTGAGATAGGGCCTTGCTAAGTTGCTGAGGCTGACTTCAAACTTGTTATCCTCCTGCCTCAGTCTTCTGTGTTACTGGGATTACAGGCTTATGCCACCACACCCAGTTCTAGTTTTCTGTCTATAAATTTGATTATTTGGGACATTTCATTAAAAAGATGGAATCATATGTTATATGCTCTTTGTGTGTGGCTTCTTTCACTCACATATTTTAAGGTTCATCCATGTTGTAGCATGTATCAGCACTCTATTTCTTTTTATAGCTGAATAATATTCAAAGTGTATTGGTACATACTACATTTTGTTTATCTATTCATCAGTTGCAATTATTTCCATTTGGGGCTATTATGAATAATACTGCTATGAACATTCGTGTGTTCATTTTTGTATGGATACACACTTTCAATTCTATTGGATATATATATAGGCATACAGTTTTGGGTCATTTGATAACTCTGTAGTTAACTTTTTTTTTTTAGTACTGGGGATTGAATTTAGGGACACTCTACCACTGGGCTATATTCCCAGCCTTTTTTATTATTATTATCATCATTATTTTTTATTTCAAAACAGGGTCTCACTAAATTTCTGTGGCTGGTCTCAAATGCCTTGGTCTCCTTAGTCTCTGGGATTATAGGCATGAGTCATGTGCCTTGCTGTGGTTAACTATTTGAGGAATTGCCATACTGTTCCACAGAGGATGTACCATTTTACATTTACACCAGCAATATATGAAAGTCCAATTTTTCCATGTCTTTGTTATTATCTTTTTTTTTTTTTTTTTTTTGTGCTATTAATTTCATTTTCTGAATTTGGTTTGATTTACCTTTTCCTAATGACTAATGATATTGAACATCTCTTCATGTGCATATTGATGGTATGTGTGTCTTTTTAAAGAATTGTCTATTCAGATTCCTTGCCCATTTTTAAAATAAGCTTATTCATCTTTTAATGTTGAGTTACAGAAGTTTTCATGTATTCTGGATACAAGGCCCTTTTTAAATATGTAAGTTCTTTCATTTTGTGGATTGTCTTTTCACTTTTTTGGTGGTATCCTTTGAAGCACAGCAGTTTTTAATTTCCATGAAATGCAATTTATCTGTTTTATCTTTTGTTATGTGTGATTTTGGTGTCATATTTAAAAAAAAAAAAACATTGCCTAATCCAAGATTTTGCAGATTTATGCCTGTATTTTCTTCAAAGAGTTTTATAACTTCAGCACCTGCATTTAGGTGTTCATCCATTTTGAGTTAATTTTTATATAAGGTGTGAGAAAGGAGCCCCACTTCATTCTTTTGCATGTTCATATCTAATCGACCCAGTACCATCTGTTAAAGAGATGATTCTTTCTTTATTGAATGATCTTGGCCACCTTGCAGAAAATCAGCTCAAATAAATACTGCTATTTATTTCTGGATTTTCAGTACTATTCTGGTGATCTATATGTGTATCATCCTGTACCATGCTGTCTTGATTACTGTAATTTTGTATTAAATTTTGAAATCTGCAAATATGAGTTCTTTTTTAAAAAATATCTTTATTTTGTTAATTCATTTTTATGTGGTGCTGAGGATCCAACCCAGTGCCTCACATGTGCGAGACCAGTGCTCTGCCACTGAGCCACAACCCCAGCCCCAAATATGAGTTCTTAAACTTTGTTGTTCTGTTTTTTTTTTATTATTGCTTTCTTCAACATTATTTATTAGTATAGCAAAATAATAAATGTCACTGATAATAGATGGAAGGTGAAAATTGTTTGTTGTTGTTATTGTGTGGTGTTTTTTCTTTTTTGAGCACAGGGGAACTTAACAATTGAATCACATCCCTAGCCCACCTCCCCACCCCCCGCTTTTTTTTTTTTTTTTTTTTTTTTTTTTTTCCGGGGTTTGAACTCAAGGGCACTTGACCACTGAGCCACATCCTCAGCCCTATT